CCGCCCCGCCTCGCCCCGCCTCGCCACGCCCCCCTCTCATGTCGTCGACGAGTGGCCAAACCATACGAGTGTTGCCGAGTGAGTCCCGATCGCCTGTTTGCCTCGTTTTCCTCTCGTTCTGCTCCTGCTTACACAAATCATTTCGGGAGCACGTCTCTGCTCCTCCGTGCGCCTCTCTCAGTCACCCCCCACCCACTCCCCGCCTCCCCCTCGCCTGGTCTGACTTCGACCTACCCTCGAAGAAGAGGCGGGCACCTTTGTTATTAGCCCGGAGCAGGCGCAGGGCAACGCGAAACTTTCTGCCGGAGCCAACTCCAGAGATGCACCTTGTTCATCTGCCAGCGGCGCGGCGGTGCGGCGCTTTACAATATAAAACTCGCGCCTTCTGACCGCGACGCTCTCGCCTGGCTCTCACAGGGGAATAAATCATTCACACGGGACGCGATGCGCCGAGTTACGAGTTATTTCCCACGCCGTGCATTTATTTCAAATTCATGGTTGGAATGACTTCCCCCCCACGTCCCGACCAAATTTAACCGAGAGAGTCTTTCTGTTCGCACCTCAATCTTCCCACGACACCTAAAACAAACATATTTCTGTTGTGAGCCATGCCAGTGCCGCTCGTCCCGGCTCCAGGTCGACTGCCCCGGGTATAGTAGGCAGCCCATCGAGCACGGCAGTGAGTGCGGTGGCGGCCGTTTCGCAGGCGAAGGCGGCGGTCTCGGCCGGCACGGCACGCCCTCCTGCAGCCCCGCCCCGCCCGGATGGAGAACGGTCCGCGCGCGAATCGCCTGACGTCCAGCGGGTAGGCAATACATTCAACACTGGCGGGACCCAGCGCTGGGAGGGAGCCCGCCGCTGCGCTAGGGAAAAATCTATCAACCATAACAAATAAATCGATACTTTCTGGAAACAGTCTTTGAATAACTACAACTCCGCTTTGTATCCTCCTTTCTTCTGCTTGAATTGGATGGCCTTATTTGTTAAAATTTGACTTTCCTGTTTATAGAAAATAAATAGTAAAATCGTAGTATTTGGTCACTCTGTTTCAGTCGGACAAGCACGTTCCTCTCTTGATACGGTACGAAAACGCCTCAGATGTAGAACATGCCCACCATTGCAAGAAGAGTGGTACACTTCGACGTCGACGGGTCCTCTGAACGTCGTCCGATCTCACAGTGGTGACGCTTGAACGTTTGTCCGATCTCCCAGTGTACCTAGGGACATGACAATATTAAAGCGTCACCGGGAAATCGGACGAAGTTAAAAGGACCCGTCGACTTGCACAGTGGGACACGTTCTCCTCTTTGTATCTGACGGACTGTTCCATAGAACAGTATACTGTTGCTAGTGCCAGAGACTTTCATTACTCGCCATTTAGAACTCCCCTTACTGTTCATTAGTTTCCTCAATTCACGATTATAGTTATCTGTTGCAAAGTTCGTAATTGCAACTAAACTATTACTATTCTTCAATGTCGGGTACTAACCGTTCGAAGTTGGTATAAAAACAAACAATTCGTAACATCGCTATTCAATAGAGCTAATTCATCAGGATGTTTAAAAGTTTGTTTCAAATAAAATTCTAGTGGCCGGGGTCGTTTTCTTTCAGAGTGGTCTGAGCGAAGTGACTACATTTGGTGGATCAAAATCGGGTTGCGTCGAGTGAGGAGGAATCGGTTTTGGGTGGGTCTCAACTGAATTTCGGGTGCCGATCCGGCACGCTGCCCAGTCCAGCACGGGTCGGTCGGCTACACTTAGAAATTTTTTTCCTGCCGGGCACTAGACGGTTGTTTAGTGCGTCCTACTTTGTTCCCCTAGCACAAAAAATTGTGTTCCCGCCACTAAAATTACTGTGCGTGGCAACAAAATTTTAAAGCTCGGCAACAAAACTTTGGTGCCCAGGCACAACTACTATATAGTGCGTCAGAAAACTTTCAGTCTCGTGACAAAATGTTTAGTGCTCAGGGCCAAAACAATTTCTCAGTGTAGGATCGAGCCAACGAATCAGGTTGAGTTTGGGTACAGATCCAGTTCACTTCGCTTAAGCCAGCTTTTGGTAAAACAACCGAATCACAGACTGTTCATTACTTTACGTACATTTCGAAGAGTTTGCGTAGAAAAATTAGGAGGGAATTTTTTGTCAAATCACGATTTAATTTTCCAGCAACGTGCAGCATCAAGAAACAATTTTTAATTTACGGTGAATTAAATTGAGTTAGCATGATCTTTGGCTCACTGCCAGAAATACTGTACCAAAGTACAGCAAAAGGACGGTATGTTTGTAGAAATGAGGTACATGATCACTGTACTTTTTTGCTGTGGTGCCCATGACCCCATGTTAAAGGATACTGTACTTTTGTACCTCAAAATACTGTACCTTACTTAGTCAAGTAGGTTAGGTCAGTCTGCGACCAGGCAAGTACTTGACCAGTCCGTACTGTGTTTTTTTTTTTCTGACAGTGCAGTTTGTTGACAGTTTACTACAAAAAAACCCAACGTGTTTTTTTAACGATCATGAGCTCCGTGAGCTCTTGTTTGTACGTCAGGGTACACTCTGTGTATCACGTAGCACTCAACGTGTTAAAAACGTCGAATGAATCCAAAACAGTTTTCAAAAAGTGTTAGCTATAATTAATTTTATTTTGAACAATTTATGGCCACTCCCTTCGACTGTCTTGTCTTCTTTTCAAGCTTTTTTTTTTTTAAATCTTTGCACAGTTGTTTGACATGCAAGTATGACTAGGACAATGACCCAGGACGTCGCCCGACATTGCCCGACAGTAATCTCCCCGCGTACTCTCCCATATAAATATCTCTCCCAGCAAATGAACGTTCGTTGGACTTGCACCGGTGTGCGCCGCCCTACTGCTGTATGAGAGAAGGCGACATTGTCGACAGGTGAGCCAGCTTTACGTTCGTTTGGTCGACAAGTGATCGGTACGCCGGCGGCAACCAGCTCATCACGCCTGACATTAAATCTGATCGGACGGAACTGCCCGCTTCGCAGGGCAGCCTTGTGTTCAAAAATACCGATTGTCAGGTGAGCGCCTACCGTTCACCGATTGTCCAGTCGGCCTGGGTTTTTTCACTCGTTAATTTCTTGTGGTACTCTTTCCAAATTGTTCCAAATTAATTGGTTTTGCAAGCAATTAGTGGTTTCGATGAGCTTGTTTAATTTGGTTCCAAGCCGAGTGCGTAGCTTCCTCACGCAAAACAAAATTAACTTTGGGAAGGACAATTGGTCACCTGGAATGCGATGATGTTGCTGTGCGGTCCTGATAGCCTAGGAATCAGTTCAGCTCGTGCGCAACAACACGTGTCTGGGAACGAATACGCGCTTGACAAGCATGAAACAACAACAGAGCGGATGTCGGGGAGGTGCACACGAGAAGGGCCGGGCGTAGCGAGGAGGAAGGCGGGGGGAGGG